CGAAGCGGAAAACTCAGAGATCGGAGATAGTGTTGTTCGCGAAATGAAAAGCTTGTTGGTAACCCTAATCCAAGCTGGATATGTAGCTCTGACTTGCAGAGTAGAATATTCCGATGGAAGGAGGGAATAGATCCAGAAGGGCGAGATGGCGAGAGGCGCGGGAAGGAACGCTGCCCGGCAGGGCTTCTTTCATATGTCCTCGGGCAAAAGCTGGGGCCACGGGGTGTTTATCCTGCAGCCCGCTTTTCACCCGTGTTAGCGTCCTTCGGTCGCGAAGCTCCGAGACAAACAGTGAAATGTCGCAATTTGGGGCCGCGCCGCGTGAAAAAGCGGCCCCAAAAGGAACCTTAAAAAGTGTCATCCTGTTATCAGAAGGGATAATTATTCATAGGGGTTTGCGTCTATAAGAAACATCGAGCCCAAGATAAAAAAATAATAATCCTCGCAAAATGAAGGTGAAATCTTTGGGTAGTTTCATATCTACGATCCAATGTCCTCTGAAAATTTGATCATTCAAAGCTCTCTCAAAACAAAAATAAAAGTAGAATGCAGAGAGCCTTGGGGAGCGGTCAAATTTTTCGAAGCCCACAAGCTCGTATATATCGAGCGAAAAAAATGTGTTCTTATTCAGCTAGTTTGCTTAGCAAGTTGAACACGAGTTATTCACGAACAATGAGTCGTTTTGACAGCATTAGTCACTAAGCCGTAGGATGTTAAGAATAAGGGCGAGATTTAAATTTTATTATTCATTTTAAAATACATTTTAATAGAATTTAGTGTATTTTTATTCTTATTTTTAATTAGTAATTTAATTGATTATAAATCCTTGTAACATTGTAGACAAAGAAATAATTTAAAAATAATAGTCATCAATTATGTGTGTGTGTGTGCGCGCGTGCGCGCAGACCTTCACCTGGCTCATTGGATGCGGCCTTTGATGTAAGTCCCTCGGGTCCAGGGTTCAATCCCTGCGTATGACCGAATTGCACACCTGTCTAGAAGGGAGGTCCGCCCCTCGATCAGACTTTGGGGTTGATTAGCGATCAACCTTTAATATATATATAT